ATGAGAAACACATGAAGATTATTCAAAAGAAGAATTACTTACAATCAGCTATTATTCAGATGTAAATAGCTGTTGGTAAAATGCATCCACTTAACTCATTTATGGAGTGTCCACCGTGTATTAATTAGGCATAATGCCAGCTCCTAGATACAAAAGGCATAACACACACAGATGTACAAGCCACTGTCACAGTCTACTGGGAAAGGTGGACATGGGAATAACTAACAAAATATAATCCTACTTCATGGAGTTGTCAATATATCAAAAGGGGGGCAAGAAAAACACTTAGAGCACTATGGTGCACATAATAAGTGCTCAGTAAATGTTACATAGCTGTTCTCACAAATCCTCTGATAAATGAAAACTGCAAGACTACTGAGATCACAGAGAGGGGAGGGCACTGAAGGAAGGGCACTTAGGGGGACATTTCAGCTGAAACTAGCAGGAGGAAGGGAAAGGCATTGCAAGCAAAGGGAATAGTATGTGCGTAAGTGTCTGCACCGAGTTCAGGGGGTCCAGGGGAACTCTGAGTAGCTCAACATGGCTGCTATATTAGGGAGCACTGGGAGCTGGAGCTGGAAATAAAAGTAACAGTGCCTCCTGTGTATAAAACATTATTCTAAGTGTCTTATGCATTTAAGTTTAATCCTCACAGCAACCTGGTGAGACAGTGCTGTGATCATCCCCAGTTTACAGATGAGGAAACAGGCACAGAGGAAGCCATGACTTGCTCAGAGTTCACACTGCTAGTAAGTAGTGAGCCAGGATATAGACAGGGGCAGTCTGTCGGCATCGCTGGCCTGCTTCTCGCAACCAGTAGGCAAGAGGGGAGTACATGCCCTGCAGTACCAAAGATGAATTAGTCCTTATCCCAGAAGAGCTCAATAAATGAGGCATCCTAAAATGTGTGATTCAGGGCAAAAATGTCAGTAACAATAGTACCCACCTCTTTGGGTTGAGAGAGGATGAAATAAGTTTACACATCTGAAGGCTGCCTGGCGCACAGAACATGCTGCCATCATCTTACTGCTTACCTGGGACTAAAATCTCCACTAATAAGCAAGCTTTCCCTCAGTGTAGTTAGTATATTTCAGACTGGCTCAACTTAAATCCGAAATTAATAGATTTCTTCCCTGTTGGTTGGCCTTGAATATATTCTTCCAGATCTCACTTAGGGTGCACGGATGCATTAAAATATTTATTACTTTTATTCTGTATGGACTGGGGAGAGAGTAGCCCAGGGATATAAAACTAGCCACTGGGCAGCTGTTGGGATCCTCAAGAGGAAAAGCCAGTATGCCCTGGGACCATGCATCACAAAAGCAAATATTTCTGTCCTTGTCACCACAATGTACTCTCTCTGGGACACTCTCTACAGAGATTTCCCCTAAGCAGTACTGGAGATGGTGGGAGTCAGGCCCTGCTGACCAGCAAGTGTGCTCTGAGGCCAGGAAGCCACAGCAGGTAGCATTTTCCTTTGGCCTAATGCCCTAAATGGGCTCATGCACAAATAAGAGGAGTAACTTAAACCCTAGAGAAAATGGTCACAGTCAGGGAGTCCCTGAAGCCAGATGTTAGGAAGTCCAGGTTCAAGTCCACACTGACTGTCAACTCCTCAAAAGCAGAAACAGGAAGTCACTTTGTACCCAAGGGACCAACACACAGGAGGTGCTCGGTACCTATTGCCAAATACATAAAAGAACAATGAGCCTCATCAGCAAAATTTATCTTTTGCTGAAGGGCTAGTGAAGCTGCAACCATTATTAGAAGAAAAAACAAAGTTTGCTTCTTTAATGACTTTTAAAGGAACGAGCATAATTGCAATTTCTGTCATTGCTAAATAAACCCCTGGCCTAGTTATGGGGTCATTTTAAACAGTAATCATGCCAGGAAAAGACAGGTTGTAGGTGGAAACAGCCAAACTTAGTGTTTTGAAAAACAACAGTTCAACTTGCGATTTAATGAAGAATGACTAACCAGTTAAGAGGGAGGAGGGGTTGACGGAGAAAGTTAACCGCTCTTCCATAATCCTCAGCAAAAGAATGGTTCGAGTTTACAAAATATGTATCAAGTTACAAACAGCAGACGAGAGCTGGTCAGGGCTGTGAGCGAAGTAGCATGAGGCAGTTTTGCTCCCGGACAGTCCCAGAGTCCTGTGCAATTCACTGCTACCACCCAGAGCACCAGATGTCTGCCGAGGAACCGTTTACAGCCAAAGGACATTAAAGAAGAATGTAGTATATTCCCTACTTTTTGCTCCAACTGTGAATCTCAACTGTAGGGTGTTTATAGACCACCTAGAACTAATAGGCTCTTCGTAAGCTAGAAATAATGATCTATTAAGTTTCAGCATAACCAGAGAGATACATTTGAACTAAACTAGATGCCCAAATAAAAGCAAGCACCAAAGATTTGGGAAATTTTTATAAAGGAAAAAAACATATGATTTTAGCATCTATTTTTTAGTCTGAAATTGGGAAGGCTAGCTGCAGGGTATCAGTGTTTGGGGAGCGCACAGCCTGAGGACGGCGATCCTCACGGCGGCTTGCCCAGGAACCTCACACTGGGATCCCAAGATCCTATGAAGTTAAAGGAAAGACCAAAAATGAAACCTATTCAAGTGGCAACGTGTGCACCACGTTACGTCCACGGAGCACTCATGCCTATGTGGTAGTAACAAGTAAAGTGAGATTAATGGTGACATGGGATTTTTCTAGACTGTTAATTTTGTGGTAAACTCATATCCAACAGTCCTCCACTCCCTACCACCCCCAGACCCCCCCACTCCCATCACACTCTGGGCTTTTTGATGCTGTCCTGAGGCTGGTAACATCCATTCCCTCCTCCTCCCAAGCAGCCAGTGGGCCAGGGAGGTCCAGACTTGGAGCACCCCACCACTCACCTTCCTTCGGAAGTCTTGGAAACACCACAACTGAGGTTGCATTTTTGGTTATTAAGAAGAAACTTGGATAGACATCTTACACACGAAGATGCATCTTAGTTTCCCGATCTCCATATTTGTAAGCTGATTCCATTTTGTAGTGGTGGAAAACACTGGTGGTCCCGAGTAGTGGACCTCGGGACAATTCATAATCCAGACAAATTTGCAAGGTGGGTCAATGTTGTCCTCCTCAACCCTGAAGGAATCCCTTTCCCGAATTCTTCTCTCCATCCCAGATTTCAGATAAGAGTTTGCAACTCAGCTACCCTGAAGATAATCAGCAGTTCCCATGTTGCTGCATGTCCCAACGCTGTGACGTTAGCTATGTGATCTTTGGGAGAATTAAAAAAAAATCTATGGAAGCACTCCTCCAAAAAAATGCACACGTGGACACACAGAAATTTTACCTACAATTTTACACACTGTTAGAGACAATCCTAAACTAGTTCTCTAAATCCGTATCCGCGAAACAAAGTTAAACAAGACAGAAAAAAGAATGACATTTCA